GCAACCTGAAATATTAACTTCTAACTTCGTATTCATTCTGTATCACGTAGGTGCTTAATCGTCTCAGGTACCATAAAGAAAAATTAGATTCACATCTATATCTTAATACACTTGCATTTGTGTACAAATTTATTTTTCATGGAATAATAATTGAATTTCAAATAAACGGTAATTTAAATGAACCCGCCACTGATTCGTCAATAACGCATTGTATACAACCAGTTGTATGATTAGAAATGTCATAATCAATAAAAATAACTGATTTAGCGAACCACACACTCGACTCTTCTCTAATGAAACAAACAATCTGTAATTGTATTTGTAAACTAGTCAAATCAAATAGATTAGAATAATTTATTCTAATTGCATAATAAAGACAAAAGAAGATGAACAACATTAGTGTGCACTTCTTCAAAGTTTAAAATGTACGTCATATTGAATATGCGTGTAAGTTGGTGCATAAATTATTTCTAGATTAAAAACATTAATCTTTCATCTCCATGATTGCATAGTTTTAGTAGGCAAATGTTTTTGAATGATGCAAATGTAAATGGTTAATCAAATCAAAGTTTCAGTTGTTCAACATACATTTGAAGCATTGATTAACGTATTAAACGGAAGTATTTGCATCAGACTTGAAGTGTTTTGAAGGTAGGCAATTTCTCAACTCGTTTCTTACAATTCTATATAGTAATTGTATCAATGTCCACTATAATTAGTCACCAGTTTTAAGATTTACCTTAAAGAATGCCATCGCACCATTTTGTTTACCACTAATTGTATATTCAAAGTTGAATCCATGAGTTGATTAAAGCTGGACCACTATGGAAACACTGGACGGCCGTTTCGTTCTAGTATGGGACTCCTCAGCAATGCGCATCCACGATCCCGCACGCGGGACCCGGACCCAGGACATTCGGTCTTGCAGGCGACCAATCGATTCATGAATTCAACTATTGAAAATTACTACAATATCCCCAGAACCCCATTCTGATAATATTCAAAGTTGTTAACAAAACGTATATTTTGTAGAATTCATTAGAGGATCTGTATTGAACTATATATTTCACTTAAAAACACTGAAACTAAAAGGCGAGAATTGTTACTTTTACGTAAAAGAAAATGAACGAATAAAATTTCCACATATTTGGGTATCAGTGTCCCCCTACAAAGTTTGATCGGAGAGAAATAGCATCTCCGAACTAGATTGAAAAAAAACCACGGAGTATATATATATATATATATGTATATATATATATATATATACATTGTGAGGCTGTCCCCAGGGTTAATTCTAGGAAGCTCTGAGAAGCTCAGAGCGAACTAAAGACATCCCGTTCAATCATCCGAAAGTATATTGCAGAATTTGGTCGCATAGCTAAAAACCACTGCACGCGAATTAGATTACTATAATGATGATTTCATTTTTACTAAGAACTCTAAATACCTGAGAGTTTTGTACCATATTTAGTACTGTTTAGAATAACATTTCTTCTCACCCGTCTTCTGTCTTTTCACTTGCGACTCGGAGGGTTCTAGCGTTCTAGTGCTCAATTTGTACGCAGTATATCACGAATCTAAGCTCTAGATATAACAGCTGACTACGGCGTCAGCTTATCAAAATATCATTTACTTTTGATCAAATAGTTTTGCTGGAGCATCAAGAGATACTTTACGAGCTGTTCCAATTCGTATGCTATAAACTCTAATCCAGCAAATAAACTTAGATCGAATGAGCCTTACCGATGGTTAATTCAAATCCCGTGTCGACCATATCATTTGTTCTATCCACGAATTTCATTTGATGATTTGGCTGGTGTTACGTTCGAATCCTGGTTGAAGAAATATAAAGATGTATTCACGGTTCAACTAGAAACGCTTGATGATACTGCAAATGTCAGGATACTACTACACAAACTTGGCACAGCTGAACTTGAACGCTACATCAACTTCATTCTCCCCAAGAATCCCAGAGATCTTTCATTTGATAAAACGGTCGTAATTTTGTTGCAAATCTTTGATGAGCACTCATCTTTGTTTAAAATTCGTTACCAATGTCTGAAGTTAGCAAAATCTGGCGACGATGACTGGGTGCAACATGCTATCCTAGTAATTCGCGAGTTTGAGCGTTCTTAATTGTCAACAGTGACGGAAAACCACTTTAATTGTCTTGTGTTTGTATGCGATCTCCGATCTCCTGAAGATGTTGATATCAGAACCAGAATTTTGAGTAAAATTGAAGTGTCCGAGCATAACGCTACAAGAAGTAACCACGGAGATTGGCAGAATTGAAACATGACACCTCTATGGTTGAAAGTAATGGACGGCTGTCATACATCCACGTCATAAGCGAAAAGAAAAATTCCGGCTCACAAAAATTATCGCGCACAGATAACCAGCCCTGATCTCCATGCTGGTCATATGTAATATGTAATCATCAAGGTTGATGTCCAACATGCCCGCCTGCTGCTCGACACTGCCCTGACACTACATTCATTAGCCGAAGAACCTGGATGCATATTGGAAAGCCATGTTACGAAGACACCACCACATGTTTACAAAAGGTTTGGAAAAATGTACAATAGCTAAAGCATTACTAACCCTCAGACCTGGAGCTTCTCCCGTTTGTCGACCTAAAAGACCTGTGCCTTATGCTGCTCTCCTTGTAGTTGAACAGGAACTAGAACGGCTCCTGAAAATGTGTATTATTGAACCTGTGAACTTCTCGGATTGAGCTGTACCAATAGTGGTGGTCTATGAACCCAACGGTGGCGTTCGATCATGCGCAGATTACTCCGCTAGACTAAATGAATTGCTAGAGTCTAGCCAGTATTCATTACCTTAAGATCTCTTCACTTAGTTAAATGGTGGCAAGTATTTTACAAAATTGGATTGGGTGTCGAGGCACAGAAGAGTATCGTTTAGGTGGCCGATGGGGACTTGTTGGTCGCAGGACAGATAACGGGGACCGTCTACTGCAACTGTGTACAGACCACAACCTGTTTCTGGCTAGCACTAAATTTTGGCACAGTCATCGCCGATGTACCACCTGCGTCTTCCCTCTGCATCTCAAGCCTGGACTCAGATTGATCACATCGCGATCGGCTACCGCTGGCGTGGTTGTGTACAAGACTGCCGCTTCTTTTGGAGTACCTATCTGAACTCTGATCATGCCCTGGTCTGCGCCAACCTTACCTTACTTTTTAGTGGCCAACGAAGTGACCGCCACCAAAGGATTGATGTTAGCAAGCTGGTTGCAACTTCTGTTGCTATTAAGTATGGAACCGAGCTAGCTTCTAGGCTAGCTACCATTCCACCGAAAAGTATAGATGAGCATTGATTACAGTTGCATTGCGCCATGAAAATGGCGAGTAAAGTCGGCTGTGGGTTTGCAAAACGTCCCTATTATAAGCACTGGGTTTCTTCATGCTCCTTACAACTCCTTGAAGCCCGTCGGTTTGCTCCGCGTGACTGCGAGTTTGACCACAAACGAAGATTCCCGAAAAGAAGTTGTGAAAAGCTTGCGTGAGGACAGAGAAGCTCGGTGGTCGGAGTGTGCTAATGAGCTGGAAGCAGCAGCTGCATCTGGTAACTGCCGGGAGCCCTTTCAACTCATACGAGTCACTGGCAGCAAGAAGCCTGGTGTGAGCGAAACAATCTGTGAGGATGATGAGATGCCAATCACTAACATCCGTCGATGTCTTGGCCGATGGGCGGAGTTCTTCAAAGGGCAGTTCAACTGGCCTGCTACTCCGGCAGCATTGGTCAGACTGTCCTGCCCTCCATGACTGGTGACGACTGATCCACCAAATTACGTGAAAGTCCACAAGGAACTCCAACTCTTGAAACGCTACAAATCGCCGGGCCCAGATGATCTACCTCCGGCTCATTTTAAAGATTTTGGTGACTTTCTGGTTAAGGAACTGACTGCGTTGTTTACAAAGGTTTGGGAACCAGAGAGTGTTCCAATGTCATGGAATGAGTCGATCGTTGTCCCTATCTTTAAAAAGGGTTCACGTAGTTCCTGTAACAACTATCGGGGGATAAGTCTACTTCCGATTGCGTCCAAGCTGTTGGCTTCAGTCATACTTTGTAGGTTGTTCGAAACCCGAGAAAGATTGACTCGTGAGTATCAGGCTGGTTTTCGTTCCAATCGAGGATGTATTGATCATATCTTCACCCTCCGTCAAATGTTAGAACACAGTGAGGACATCCCACGGGTGAACTCGAGGAAGCTCTAAGAAGCTCGGAAAGAGTCAAAGACTTTCTGTCTAATAATCTTTTGAAGAAACATTCCAGAATCTCGACGCGCAGCTACTCTATTGGACAAATACTTAAAACCACTGCACTCGAATTAGATGACTATAATGATGATTTCGTTTTTACTATGAACTCTAAATACTTGAGAGTTTTGTACCGTATTTAGTACTGTTTAGAATAACATTTCTTCTCACTCGTCTTCTGTCTTTTCACTTGCGACTCGGAGGATTCTAGCGTTCTAGTGCTCAATTTGTACGCAGTATATCACGAATCTAAGCTCTAGATATAACACACATACTTGAGGAAAGCAACGGAAATTAAAATCTCAAATCATTATGAGTAAACGTAATATTGCCCCCAAATGTCCTTGTATGGCCGAGGTAGAGGAGTGTCAGCTCTCCACATTTTGTATCGCTGCCAACCAGTAGGGGGAAGGGTGCTGTTTTGCGGACGCCGTTTCGGGTTTGGAGCTGAGGTGCCAGTTGGGGCGGTCTGGTGTGGAGAGGTAACGTCGAGTGGAGTGTTCTGGCTGGGTGGCGTTGGAACCCGGGCAGTATCACAGCCGATGCACTAATCATGTGACTTGTATGGCGCATATGTATTCGGTGCACCTTCGTACCAATATTTATGTGTTCAGATAAATAAATAGTATTATATCCATAAACACTATGCTATTTGTTTCTGTTTCCCATTATCAGTGAAATGTACAATGCATTTAATTGAATATAAATAAAATGACAGGGAAATGCAATATCAATATATGACGCGCTGTTGTTCTGCTAATGACAATTTTCATCTCGGACAAAAATCACATGTAGAATCAACGAAATTTATCGAGCATTGAAAAAAATGTTTCGCGACACCCAACGACTCTTCCTCCTCGTCGGAATATATATAAACACGCTGGTATTGCAGTAAACACGTAATCGTCTAACCACTGTGTGAACAAAATATAACCCTAAATTATATATATATGGTTGAATCTTCTTAATTTATTTGACTCTATATTCTCTGTATTTGCTCTCACTTGTGCTCGGATTCGCTTTGCTGTATGCTTGTGGCCTAGTGATCTGGGCTGTACAGTAATTAACTGTAGTTGACACTTCGTATTGCATTTTGAAATATATACACCATTGGGAGTTTTCTGATAGCGGTTATCAGGACGAGTGATATGCAAAGCCTTAAGAAGGTAATCCACTACACATATATAAATAAATCGTTCATATCTGTTTCATTGCCATTCGTAAAGGTCTTGTAGAGAAATTTATATTATTATTATTATCAGAATGGATTTTGTGGAGATTTTTAGAAATTTCACAAGTTGAAATCATGAGTCAATTGAAGCTAGTCCACCATGGAAAACCTGGAAGCACTGGACGGCTGTTTCGTCCTGGTATGGGACTCCTCAGCAAAGCGCATCCACGAACCCATACCTCGCGGGATTTGAACCCAGGACCTACTGGTTTCGCGCGCGAGCATTTAACCACTAGACCACTGAGCTGGCATCCGACGGTGTTGATGTCTAACTTCAACCAATCCACGAAGTTGCGCCACCGTATTTTTATATGTCGACCCAAAAATCCAATTGCTTGTTCGGCATTGCCTTCTGAACAGGGACAGTGGATGATAAGTCGTGAATATTTTGTACATGTATAATACTACAAGAGTTTTCGTACTTCAATTCATCTTCCTAAGGAGCTGAAATCACCACATAAATTTTATTTTTGTTAGATATAGCAATAGTTATCAGGAGAAATCTCTACTTGACTATATCACTTGGTATCTGCTTTGTTAACTTCGGGATCTTTTTTAAAACTGTCGGTGTATATTTAACTCCCACTGTATATTTTCATTAATTTTCGAATAATTCAACTGAATTGAAAGTAAATGAATCTGCGTAATCCTTCCAAAGTACTTTGCAAATGTCTGCCGAGCATAATTTTTAAATAAGTTAGAACTTATATTGCAAGAAGGTTTGTCCTATAATTTTGAATGGTTGACTGTTCTATTACTTGAACATTTCAGACATTTCAAAGAAAACTCTCATAAAAATTACAAACCTTGGCAAAAATATGCAACACTTGAGATGGATTAAATTGAACGATCCTATCTTGATGAACAAGTGTAAATCCTATTTAGAATTAGTTCAATGCAGTCATCTATCATATAATTGTATGACAGTCGAATTATCTGTGAATGAAACTAGTAAGTCGCATTAAGAAAATTATTGAGAACATTTTCCCCCTTTTTTATTAGTTGAAAATTATTTATCCCATCAAACAATTTTATAGGATTTCCTGCAGCTATTTTTAACCAATTTATATCAAAACATTGTAGGCACGATATCAAATCGTTTGAACTAGAGGCATATTGCTATTTAATAAAATCTGATAAGCATTAGAGACTAAAGGAGCTTGACATTTGTCCTTACTCAGTAGTTAGTCAATATAAAAAACCTATAATTTTGCCTAAATCTATGAGATAAACATTGATTGCTAATTGTTTAATAATTAGAAAACGGTTATTATTAGATCGTTTGTTTTATTTTATTTACAGAATGATTTTGTTTAACTCACTTTTATTAAATATAACCTTTGTACATTGATTTCATTTACATTTTTCCTGAATATGTATAAATATAACTACTGAGAATAGCTCTTTGCTACAGCATTGTTATTTTAAAATAGAGCAATTTACCCACTACATCTCCGAGTAAAATATTATCAAATGGTTGAAAACCATTGATTAGACGTTCTGTAACTAGGCTTAGTAAAAGCTAAAATTTCTCATTTTGACTTATCTGCGATTTTAAGGGGTGTAATTCCAAACCATATCACTCAGTGTTGTAGTCAAAGACGTTAACACCAAACTGTTTAGAGTACTTTCTGATCTTCTGTAAGGTCTAGGTAACCGATTTAGAGATTGTGGATAAGAGATTCTTAATAAAAAATCTATCATCTAATGGGAAATCAATTTCCTGAAAGCATATAAATGTAGAATATCTAATTTATTCTAGACTTAAGGTACAAACTCTGAGCTTTTAAACAAAGTGTAATCATTGTGAAAACGCTTGCTAATTCATAAATAATTGGTACAAAAATGGCTTGACTTGAGCAATCACTCTAGAAGGACGCACCCTACATTGTTAGTTTTACAATTTTGATCATTTTGATGATTCAGTTAGTTGTCAAGTATTCGGTTGAAAGATTATGAACAAATGCCATGCTTGTTAGATCATTTCTTATCATCGTCGGTTGATTTCAATGCTCATCACTAATTAAGAGATTTTCAAATGTAGTTTTCACCTCACACTTCTATTAACCACCACCCATCTATTAGCCAATATAAGATTGGTATCTTCTGGTTTCTAAACACTTGTCATACTGATGAAACACGAAACCGTCAAATGAATTTAGAATTTCTCAATTTTTTAAGCATACATTATTTAGCCGAGTAAATGTGATTGGCTTGAATGACAATAATTTCATTCAATTATATCGCACAGACTTTCAATTAAAATTTCAATACAACTTTATTAGGCCTGGAAATATTTCGAGAAGGTCTGTGCATTTTACGTATATTTTAATATGATATCTCTTAAATACTATACAATTCAGAAATAATATTAAATTGTTTCTTGTTTTAATTTTTTATGACTTCATACATAACTACGATTTTTAATCTTAATAATTATGAATAATATGCGATAAAAATAAATCTTAATTATTGATGAGATCATTGTTAAACACTTTTTTTAATAATTTTTTGTCATTTGTCTTTGTTAGCTTTTATATATTACAATCTGAAACCATTGACTACTTATACATATAGTATCAATTTGATTTCTCCATTTGGTGATATCAATGATATTTACACGAAGTCTACAGCCGAAACACTACCTAATGGTAAGCATGATTTTCGTATTCTCAGTGTTTCCTTTTCAAGTCTCTACTGACAGTACAAGGACATAAAAGAACAATTAAAATAGGTATCATTACCAATGTTTGACTTGATAATTTCGAATAAACTGAGCATTGGGTAGATTTTCTAAATATGTGTGTTAATTTCGATTTGGTTATTTATTCTCTGAAGAAGTGGCTTACACTGAGTCACGAAACATCAGAAAATTTGATTTTTCTACTCATTGGAATAGTACAAATATATTAATTTAGTTATAACAATTAAGATAGTTTAAATAATATGAATTTTGCTGAAAATTAATGAAAGTCACAGAGTAATTCACTGAGCACTTCAATTACTACTGTTTATATCCAGAAGGTATTTCTTCAAGAAGCTCACATGACAACCTTGATGAGTCAACTTCAGTCCATAATAATAAAGAGATAAACAACAACCAGTTGTCCAGCTCTTTTTTTAGCTTCAGTTCCATCTTGGCAACCACCAGGTAGTGATCTGAAGCTATGTCGGTTCCTCTCCTGGTCATCAAGTCTTCCATAAATACAAATGTGATCGATCTGATTCTCTGTGGTGTGATCCTGATTCTTTCGATCGTTGGTGGAGTGACATTGATAGGAATGTCTGTAGGTGCTGCTTTGATGTCCGGTAGATCCAATGGAACTAACCTATTCAAGAGTTCCTCAGTGTTCTACCCATCTGTTTCTGTGTTCTTGAATCTCACTGATTGTCTTGATTTCTTCGTCTTTGACTGGTCTCTATGGTTTACTATATTTCCGTGCCAGTTTCTTCGTTATATCATATGGCTGTCTGATATTTCCATGTCTTGCGGCTTTTTTCGTTATCCTTGCTAGGTTTTCCACGTATTTCTGCTTGTCAGCTCGAATTTACTTCTTCACTTGCTTGTTTGCTTCTGCATGGGCCTCGACTTTCTCTGCTCGCAAACGACTATTGTTAGTTGCTGCCTTCTTGAATCTTATCCAAGGTTTCCATAGAGATCTATTCCTTATCAAAATAGTTCTTGCGACCCAGAACCTTCTGACATGTTGAAGTTAGTCCTACGATTTTCCACATTATTATTTTTTCTATATATGACTGTAAATGGTTGAAACGAAGACGAAAGGTATACTTCAAGTTATCAAAATACTACTTGCGACCCAGAATCTCCTGACATGTTTAAGTTATTGCTCCTTTCATACCTTCCCAATTGTCCATTACTGTAGTTTCTTCTTCCTTCAGTAGATCCTGTTGTTGAGGACTAACCTGAATTCGATGAGTTTGTCAGTATCTCGTAGGAAGGTTGTGTTGAAACTTTCTACTGCTGTTCCTTCAGTTGATAGTTCTTCTTTAATTCCAGTTCCATCTTGGCAACCACCAGGTAGTGATCGGAAGCTATGTCGGTTCCTCTCCTGGTCATCAAGTCTTCCATAAATACAAATGTGATCGATCTGATTCTCTGTGGTGTGATCCGGTAAGACCCATGTAGCTTTATGAGAGAATATTGTACCACCTACAACCAATTTATTGAATGCACATGGGTTTGGAAATCTCCCACCATTCTCGCTTCGCTCTCCTAGTCCATGTCATCCCATTGTATATTCGTATCCCATGTTTTCCATTCCGAATTCGGCGTTCAGGTCTCCATTCAGGATGGTCAGATATTTTGCTGGGCACTTCGCTATGATCGATTGCAGCCTCTCATAGAACTGTCCTTTATCGTCGTCGTTGTTATGATTGGTTGATGCATAAAATTGGATAACATTCCTTGTGATTCCTTTCTTCTTTGTTTTGAATGATGTTTCGATGATCCTGGATCCGTGAAATATCCATCCTATAAGTGCTATACGTGCCTCTTTGGACAGGATCAGAGCAACTGCCTTAGTGTGTAGAGGATTTTTTCTTCGTGATCGGAGTACATTAGCCTCTCTCCCGTATCTAGCTTTCGCTGTCCAGCTTGGTTCCGATAGTTTTCACTGATTACGAGAAACCCCAAGTTGCATCTCCTCATATCTATTGCTGTTAGACTGGTCCTCCCGGTCTTCCACATTGTCGGAACATTCCGTGTACCTATATTAATTGTTGCTCTGGTTGTTAGAAGTGTGATCGGCCTCGTGACTTCCGAAGAATATCGGCTTTCATCATGAGGGTTCATAATTCTTCTGAATGAAGATCCTTCAACTCCCACGGTAGAGTTTAAATTGTTTATTATGGTTGGTGTTTTTTTAGCTAGGATGTTTACTACGAGATGGGGTAGCTGACCCTATTCCCAACCCTCTTCATTTACCTGGGTTTGCGATCGGCAGTAACTATAGAAGAGCTCCAGGTGGAGTTTCTCAGTGTTATGACGGTTAGCGTTTGATAATTGACACTCACAGTAGGGTTTGATTCTACCGGCACTCGAAACTAGATAACATACTATTGGTTACTATGTGGTGACTGAATATTATATTTTATATATATCAGTAGTTACAGCACTACAATATATGTGCTGGATTGTAAATGATTGCATGTTAAACAAATGCGGAAAACGTTTTTAAAATATAATCGTACAAATCATATAGTGACATCATGTAACCGATTGATAATATATGTCGAATTAAAACACAGCGTTTTTGTTCCTTGTTAGGTCCAAATGCACCGGTCAATCTATCTGTCAGCCATATATCACCGAACAAACTGACCTTACACTGGCAAAATCCACCACAACACCCAGCCTTTGATGTTCACTGTTTTTGGGTGTACAAACGTGATTCGATCCATCTGGTGAGTGGGTTGGACGAGTACAGAATTTGTAATGTTTCGAATGAACTTATTTTGACATCACTGATACCGGGAAGACAATACACTTTGTATATGAGATCTGAGGATTCTGTGTATGGATTACATAGTGATGTGTCTAATGCTATAAGTGCAACAACCTATCCATCACGTAAGTCTTTTTCATACATCATTTTAAATGGTTTTTGCTATATCCGGACGAGAATAAATCAATGGTAATTATTTATGGACTAATATTATACGAATATTTTTATTGTATGACTATTAAGTAACTACATTATATGTATATTCATATTCTTTTCATTACAAGCTTTTATTTGACCTATTGGTTAACTGTTGTATGATTTACTATTCGCAAGTTATTCTCAATCTATTAGTCACAGATTCTCATTATCCCCGACTCTTTTGGCTTGATCTTGTAAAATTTTTTATTTTTATTTTATGGTGTGATGTCGTCTGATTTTGCTTGTATATAAACTGTTTGAAGTATATGATTGGTATCGCTTAGGCTGAGACTGGCGTTTTGGACTAAACAGGCAGGGAAAAAGACCAATGAGAACTCGAGGCTGTCTGTACTGGTGTATGCATCATTAGTTCGGTCGTATAAATCAGCGTATCTAAATTGGCAATCGTATTTCGCGATAATTAATAAAATGCCTATTACATGCCGGTCCCAGTGGTTCTTCAGTTGATGTCAAATTAGTTCTGAAGATCGCTTTCAAAACTTTCACAACGTTGCATGCAAATCACTTTTGTTGAAAGTAAAGATGATTCATAAACATTAATGTAATATATTTTATTTTATAACATTTTACTAATCTGTTGTGGATGAGGAAGAATAGACCAATAATTATCATGTTAAGTCCAATGGTGTCCTTGGACTTTAAATGGACATTTCCTATTGGTCGGTATCTGTTCACTTGTTGAATATTGTACAAAATGTTGTTTTCTATTTTATGGTACGATGTGGTATGCTTGATTGGTATATAAACAAAGTATGTTTGAAATATAGTGATTCATATCTCCGAGACTGTGACTTGTGTTCTGGACGCAACTGACTGGGCTAGACAGGGAAGTGCGACCAATCGTGACTCTAGGCCGTCCGTACGTGTTTACGTGTCATTGAATCGATCGATAAGTACGCTGCTCTCTAATTTTCCAGTCAAGGACACAACAATTAGCACAGGGTAAAAGTCAACCACAATTTAAAGCCATAACATAATCAATTCAATGTTTTAATTACAAATTCTACATTTGACTTACTAAAGTCTTTCAATACCTGATATCTAACTACTGGATTATCAAGTGAATATTATTGCAAATACATTTTTTGAGTATTATTATTATTATTATTATTATTATTATTATTATTATTATTATTATTATTATTATTATGAATTCGAGTTATTAGCACTTACTGAAACTCCTTACTTTCGATTTCTTTTTTTACTTTTAATTTCTACAAGAACCAAATGCACCAACTAATCTAACTGTAATCAATATTTTATCTAATCAATTTACTGTTAAATGGACTGAACCAGTACAAGATTCTGCATTTATAATTAAATATTATTTAATATATTATCGTCCTACTTTAAAGATAAATGATCTATTCACACAATCTCATATTTTCTCTAATCATTGTAATGAATATATCATCACTTCATTATTACCTGGTATTAACTACACAGTATATATGAAATCGATCGACTCAATTTATGGTATATACAGTAATGAATCGATCCCAATTACAGTGTACACATTCCCAGATGGTAAGTTGACTTGCTTTCGAAAACTTTTAATTGTCATAATGAGTAAAATAATATATCATTCTGAATTGTCTACATTAGGATTTATGATGTGAATATATTTTAACTTCTTTTTAAATTACGAAATGAAATCAGTAAGAAAATTAATATAAAAAAAAACAAACAAACAGAAAGCATTGGATAGTTATTTTATCCTTTTATGAAACTAGTTTACCGGATCAATTCAAATCTCACAGTGAGCATCAACATTTTTAAATAACTGATTGGAAATCCAATGATAAGTATATTCAACTTTATTGGAAAGATGTGAAACGATTGATTCCGCTTTAATCGTTATTCATCAAATAAATTCACAATTATTGTTCTAAAGACAATTGATAGTTCTGATGCTATAACTTCATATTAAGTAACCAATTAAAGTCGAGATTAAAAAGTGGAACAAGATGGATTCAACAAAACTAAATTTCTGTGTTAATGAATTGCCAAACTAATGAAAGACAATAGGCTAATTCATTAATGTCCTATTGTTTATTAATTTAATTAGGCTACCTTCTACGTGAAGTTGATCACAACAGACATAAAATTTAGAAAAAATTACCAGATTGAAACATGGTACCATATTCCAAAAAATGAAATTCATTTTGATGTAAAACTATATTTGGTCATTTACCGATTCCACTATTTGGCCAAACGGATGAATAAATTTCACGTAAAACTCGACCCATTATCTTAAATCTCATGGGTTCGTCCATAAATCATACTCTCGCCTAATTAACCGAATCTATAACAACTGCTTTGACGTGACTGAGCACGTCCAAGTATTAAGTATTTCTGATCTCATCTTAAAATGCAACGCAGAATTTATCAGCTCAATGTAAACTGATTGTTTGAGTGTTTCCAAAATTACTTAAATGAATAACAATCTATCACTCATGAGTAGTACATCTGACATTAATAAACCATATATTCAATATTTTATTAGTAGAGATGGTTTAACTAAAGATACACCAACAATATAAAAATTATTATCCTGTACATTAGCTATTAAGGTTGTATAATTATCACTTTATTGAATCAATATACTGAGTATTATATGCATACATTTTAGAATTCCACACTGCATATGATGAATAGATTAGATATATCTTAACTCAAATTACAAAATAATTAAACTGACCAAAGAGGACAATTGATAATAATCATCGTATTAAATTTAAACAGCTACACCCAGTGTTCGCTTTGATGGTTTATGTAGAAAATTTTATCATAAAATAGTTTTTGTTACAGAACGGAACAGTAAGAATCCGGAAAGATAGGGACACTCGTCGTTGCCTCTTCGTCGTCTCTGCCTATTCTCCCACTGACTGCAGCTCAGATGATGTAAAAGATGAGTTTTACAGAAAGCTTTCGGACCTTCTCCGAAAAGCTAAGCGCTCGGATTTAGTAATAGTAGGTAAACTAAGCGATAGGGAAAGACACCTAGGTGGATCTTATGGTGTCGTGGCTCAAAGAACAGATAATGGCGACCGTCTGTTGCAGCTATGCTCAGATAACCGCCTGTTCCTTGCAAATACTAACTTTAAGCATAAGGAAAAACATCTTTTAACATGGCGACCCCCTAATTCGTCCCAACGTTGGACCCAAATAGATCACATCGCTATCAGCCACCGATGGAGGGGCTCGATAGAAGACTGTCGCTCATTCTGGAGCACATGCCTAGATTCAGATCATGCTCTAGTGCGAGCGCGTATTTGCTTGCGTCTTACTGGACGTAGGAAAGACGCTGCAAGGAAACCTCTTAGGGCCCTACTTAATGATAGTCAAGCTAAGAGTATATTTCAGGAACAACTAGGAAAACAGTTAGGCAGCCATGTATGTGATGCCCACCCCGATGCAGCATGGAATGATATCCGAAAAGCTGTGGAAACAGCAGTGATATCTGCTAGTAAGGTAAACCAGAAGGTTAGGGAGCAACACTGGATCTCAGCAGCATCTATCGCACTGATAGATGCTCGGAAACTCATTCCACCTGGCTCTGAACATAATGAAGAGCGGAGTCAGCTTAAGCGCAAGCTGACAAGAAGTCTACGCAATGATCGCGAACAGTGGTGGGTAGCGAAAGCAAGAGAGATGGAAAAGGCAGCGGCAATAGGTAATAGCAGACAATTGTTCAGACTCGTTAAGGAAACCGGAATTAGGAACCCGACCGTTAGCGAAACAATCTCAGAGAAAGATGGACATATTATTCATTCTCAATCCAGGAGATTGGATCGATGGGCAGAACACTTTAGGGATCAGTTCAACTGGCCTTCAGCCACACTTCGGTTTCCCACGATCTCTAGTCAACCTGAATGGCAAGTTAATGTAGGTCCTCCGTCCCTTTACGAAGTTGAAAAAGCCATAGGAAATCTGAAACGAGGGAGAGCAGCAGGCCCTGACAGGTTTACTCCTGAGATTTTTAAGGATGGTGGTCCAGTATTAGCAATGAGATTAACCGAGGTCTTAGGTAGAATTTGGGAACTGGACGTAATCCCATCTGACTGGTCTCAATCACTGATTGTGCCAGTCTATAAGAAAGGACAAAAGTCCTCTTGTGACAATCACAGAGGAATCAGTTTGACTAATATAGTGTCTAAAATATTAGCTTCAATAATACTTCGACGCCTAACTAAAGCTCGTGAAGAGCAGATTAGAGAAAACCAGGCCGGTTTTCGACCTGGACGTGGTTGTATAGATCAGATATTCACACTACGTCAGGTTCTAGAACACAGACACACATTCAGACGCCCCACAATGGTAGTATTTCTCGACCTTAAGGCGGCATTCGACTCTGTTGATCGTGAGGTTCTATGGCAGTGTTTGTCACTGAAAGGAGTACCAAAGAAGTACATTAACCTTATAAAGGCTCTCTACTCGAACACAACTGGTCGAGTGAGAGCTTATGGCGAACTGTCATCAGAATTGATTACCTCAAGTGGTGTTCGTCAGGGCTGTCCACTCTCCCCATTCTTGTTCAACTTTGTGGTCGACGTACTTTTAGAGATAACACTCTCCTCATCTAAATTTCCAGGGGTTGAACTTCTACCGGGAGGTTCACTTGTTGACTTAGAATATGCTGATGACATAGTTTTATTTGGTGAAGACGCTGACAAAATGCAGAGTCTTCTGACCACTCTAAGCAACAATGCAAGCATGTTCGGGATGCGATTCTCTCCCTCGAAATGCAAAATGTTGCTTCAGGATTGGGTTACATCGACACCCGAACTAGTGATAGGGAGTGAAGTAGTTGAGTGTGTCGACCGCTTCACTTATCTTGGAAGTCTCATCAGCCCTTGTGGTTGGTGTGTGACGAAATCTCAGCACGGATACAGAAGGCTCGACTAGCTTTTGCCAACTTGCGTCATTTATGGCGTAGGCGAGATATCCGTCTATCAACCAAAGGACGTGTTTACTGCGCAGCAGTTCGTTCCGTCCTACTTTATGGCAGTGAAACATGGCCGGTAAGAGTAGAGGATATTCGTAGGTTACTAGTATTTGATCATAGGTGTCTTCGAAACATTGCTCGTATATCATGGGACCATCGAGTAAGTAACACAGTTGTTAGGAAACGGGTACTAGGTAAGGATGGCAAATCAATTGATGAAGTAGTGAAACTTCATCAGTTGAGATGGCTGGGACACGTGTTACGTATGCCCAACGACCGACTGCCTCGACGTGCTATGTTCAGTGGTATAGGAGTAGGTTGGAAGAAAGCTAGGGGCGGCCAAACCAAAACATGGCACAAGTCCATGAAGTCACTGACAAGTGGACTGAGTCATGTTGGTAGGTGTAGACTACCTGGTTGGGGACCGCGAGATGATAGCAACCGATGGTTAGAGACCCTGAATGACATGGCTCAAAATCGTTTGCAATGGCGCAGGTGCATCCACTCTCTGTGTTCTCCCAAATTCTAATCTCCTTATTCCTTCATGTCCCTTTTTTTTCTCCTCCCAAATTTATTTCACTGGATTATACTCTTTAAATAACATCTCCAAACCCTAATCTTCCCGATTACTGCTTATACTCTTATTACCTCTACCACTACGGGATTTGAATCGACAACTGCATCTCTGTGCTAATGTGGTGTGGCAACTCGAACTGATGTACGTACGTACGAAGTTCTACGTTGTTACTGACTGACTGACTAACTGACTTTTGTTACAGACTAGAATTAACTGTGGCATTAATGAGAAACACAGACCACTGGTTATTTTGCTTTGGCTAGGGACTGCTAAACAATGTGAATTTACCAACCTACAGATTTTCTGATTTCGTAGTGCGTATGATACTCTAAGGCGACGTTATAACGATTCAATGGTCCAGTTTTTAATTCAGTGCAGAGTTGTGAATACAAGCTAGAATGGAACATCTATCTGATGTATTCTGGTTCTCATTAATGCTTCAAGTGACGCCCATCTTCTATCTTTGAATCGAAAATATTTTCGGAAAATGCAGAAATATAGCTATGAAATGATTATTTTTCTTTCGTTTATTTAAGAAAAATTAACAAAACTAACCGATTCATTATCTTCTGTGAATAAATATCTTCATTAATTATTGATTTATTATTGATTTTTCCCCTTGCAATATTATTATAAATATCATTATTCTTGGGGATAGTGCTTCTTTCAATAAGACGATAATATAATAAACCGAATGAGGATATAGCCAATATGAACAATGACCACAAGATACAACATGTGATCAAAATGATAGTAGCTAATAAGTAATACCATACATTTGAAATGGAAAAAAAAGTTTATCAGGAAATAGATCAATAGTTAAAGTTTAACTATATAGTACCAAATAATTCTTTTTAATATAATGAACAATAAACCATACCACTGATTCTGTATCAACGATGGGAATGGTTTTTGTAGCTTAATAGTATTGTCAGAGACATTTAAGTTAAATAATTGTTACAATTAAGGCAATATGAATCTAGTTGCGTTACTAATAAGTTT